AGTTAGTCTGTCTACTCGTTGATTACTTAACTTGACCAATAAGGCTAACATGAGTAACTTTGAACACTGACAAGAACATCTTAACTGTTGTTGATATGCTGTTACAAGCGCATTCTATCAGCCAGTTTTAAGTCTAGATAAAAGAATACTACAAGTTTTAATCACTAGATTTCAGGCATCCATTAATCTATCTTAAACGCGCTGGCTCAGCAGCACAAATTTCAGATAGAAGTGTTCTGTCAACCGAAAAAACTGCTATGCTGAAGTTTATGCAAATAAAATTGTCTATAGTGTCAATGAAAACTTTACTATTAAGCCATCCGACTCTGAGAATGCGACTTTACTGGAACCTTTTGTGTTGTTGTAATGTGACAACCTTGATGTATGAATGTTCGTATCAGCTCCTATATTGTTTCCAACTATCACTATTTATACACATGTGAATAATACAGATCTCTCAATACATCTCCCAATACATCATATTGATCATTATCCTGTTAATTCCCTTGTATCACTTAACCTTTAACGTAAACGATAAATAGATTATGTTTTTGAGAGTTACTTAGAAAGTATAATTATTTACTTAGCTACTGTATTATATCAATCTGTAATGTAAAATTACAAATTGAATAATCCTTACATATTTCTTTAGTATCAATCTTATACTCTTCACTGATTCAGTGTTATAATTCTCAAAGTTCAACGTATCGGTTGTACATATATTCTAAATCCGATTAGTCGATAAAAGCTTTCTACTTACTCTTGATTTTTTTTCTCACTAAAATATTTTTCGAAATTCTACATTTTCCCCGTCCTTATATTGTGTCAAACACAGTGAATCACTAGTAAGGAGTTCACTGTTCAAGGTTGCTACATGTCTCTTGTGTGTTATTACAAGCTATGTATTAATAACCGTGTTTCAATCATCAGTTTGCTTCAGTTTATCAGTATTATGTAGCATTTGTTACAAGAATTGTTTTCTTAAATCGTGCCAATTTCTCCGATGTATCAAAAATTGAACAGAACTCTATTGAAATCCAATGAATTTTGTTTACAAATATACACACACAAATACACATTTTAGTAACGATACCTAGGCTATTCAATATCGTTACTATGACGACGAACACCAAACTATGGTTTTGTTGGTTGACTGTGTTGAGATAACTAGCAACTGAGTGGACAATGTTTATATTTAATTCGTATGATACCTTCATTATGAATACGAATACTATTGTAGTTATTGATTATTTGAATAGTGAACGACTTTAGAGTGAGCGTAAAATTACATTTTGGTTTTTTTATTTTATGCGTTCTGTTTTCCATTGTCGCATATGAGTAATAAAAACTTCGATTTGCTATAGACAAAAAATATTTATCAATATCAGGTTGTGGAGATTGTTGAGTTTTAATTGAGATCATGAACCGACCGATGCTAGACTAAAATTGAAAACCTGGAAGCACTGGACAGCCGTTTCGTCCTAGTGTGGGACTCCTCATCAGTCCAGTGCTTTCAGGTTTTCAGTGGTGGTCTAACATTGATCGGTTCATGATCTCAACTAAAAAACGTTTTCTTAACTCTTATATAGCTGTAAATGTTCTGTAATAGTTTTTTTATATTTTTATAGAATTCATATTTTTTGAATAGAAAATTTGGTAGAACCAGGCAACAGTGACGGCCGTGAGCGGTTTTAGGTGAGACCTTGGGATTAGCCAATCGAATATGAGCTAGCCAGAATGTAGTTCAATGTTCTATAGCTGATCTATCTGATATCACCAACCAACTTAACCAAAATGGGAAATTTCGTCATAAGCATGATATCCTGCAATTCCTTCTTAAAATTCGTGCATATATTCAACGATCGCTATTTCTACTATGAATGGCCAATTCCATTTATTTGTAAGCCGTTGGTATAGTTTAGTTCTACGGAAAACGTTACATCAACTCGGATAACATTTTCATTTGAAAAGATAAAACGCTTACGGTGACATGTGTAGGTTCTGTGTTTGATCCCCTATCGGGTCGTAGATGTGGACCATTCAGAATCGTCCACAATGACACAGATTCATTCACACTTTATCCTCTTCTAGATTGCGAATTCCTTCGTCTATACCTTTACCACTTCGTATTTTCGAACTATATTTCCAATATTCAATATTTCTGATTATCATTACTATTGCATTATTTCTGTCTGTTTTACAATTTATCTTGTCATGCTAATATGGTTTGTCATCTTTACCAAGGCCTGCATTGACTACGAGTGATGAATGGCTAACGTCTAAGGAGTTCCATATGAGGATGAGACAGTTGTCCAGTGCTTCTAGTTTTCAGTGGTTGTCTAACCACAACCAGTTCCTGATATAAATAAGCTCTAGAATTCAACAATCTCTATAAACCCCTTTTATACTAACATTTTATTTGAAACAAGTTAAAATAAGCTAATAGTTTTTTATAGGTATCAATGCCAAGATTGGACTTAGTAGTTTCAAATAAATCGAACACTGGGTAGAAAATGAAATTGCAATGAATATAAAATTGTATTTCTAACGTTTCGTCACGCAACATAACTCACTTCTTCAGAGCAAAAAAATAACCGAAATAAAATTAACACAAGTTTAAATGGTACAAAGGAAACAGTGAAGAATATCTTTAGTACAGTCAGAGTTATAATAGGTCTGAACATGTGAATGTGAAGTTATTTTTAGTCGAGGTGATTTTGTATCACCGATCACTGCATTAATTTGTGTGTCATAAGTGGAAATAATATATGGGTAAAACATGTATACATTTGTAATATGAAGTAGAGTGAGATTGAAATTGAGTATGTGTGTGTGTTTGTATGTAGATTGTGTGGAAAATGAATTGGGTCCAATGTGGTTAATTGAATAAACAGTTCAGATTGGATGGATAGTTAGGTGTTCATTGGTATTGAGGGAAGAGGGATTTAGCATCAGATTACTGTCCTGCCTTCATAGTTGAGAGAACATTTCTGAGATATTTTTAATATGAATTTGTTGATTGTTGAAACTAGCATGTAATACTATTGTTGATTTAACTTGTGGATGTCTCAATTTTACAGGATTATTAGGAGGTGATTTTGTATAAGTTACTTGTTGTTCTGGTCGAGTCGATATCTCACAGGAAGGCTCTCTAATTTAGAACACATCAAAATCGACATAATTTGTTTGTTAACACAATTTTTGTGTAGAAGAATAACTTGACATTAACATATTTAGACCTATTATGATTTTGGTTGTACAAAAAATATTTTGCACTGTTTCTTTTGTACTATTTGAACTTGTGTTAATTTGATTCGGTTATTTATTTACTTTGAGGAAGTGAGTTATGTTGCGTGACGAAACGTTAGAAATACAATTTTATATTCATTGCAATTTCATTTTCTACCCAGTGTTCGATTTATTTGAAACTATTAATTCCAATCTTGGCATTGATACCTATAAAAAACTAACATATAGAGAAAGTACTTTAAAATGAAGTACATTGTTTAGTGAATTGACGATTGATACTTCGGTTGGATTATGAAAGTAATTTTTAGAAATAACTGGAAACTTTGTAGAAATAAGTCACAATCATTAAGATTTATTGAATCTGTGAGAATTACTTGTCATTTATGTGATTAAGAAAAAAGATTCCAAAATTTTAATTAATCGCATTTATTTAAGGTCTTTGAGCTTAAATTCTGTTTAATTGCTTAGAATAGTTCAGTTGTTTTTGTATCAAAATATACATGATATAGTTGTATCAATCAATCAATCATGAACAATGTTATCAAGTGTAATTATAATGTTCATCAGTTGAAGTAATCATAATTGATATTAACTCAATGATGGGAAATTGACAAGATTAGATTGCAAATGAGGCAAAAATACTCATAATATCAGTAATTGTAAAAGAATGAATAAATTCGTGGGATAAAAATCACTAATCAATATTGCAGTTCATAATCTCAGGGAGTATAAATGATAAGTCTACTAAATGAACGCTCGATTTGATTTCCTTGCCTCTCCTAACAACAGACTAAATCTACTCGGCAATTTAAACATGAGAGAAAAGGCACGAAATATGGGAAGAACGCTTTACCCTAATGTTAATGTATGCACAGAAAAACTTTGGTATTTGTAGAGTTACACACGATCTTGGGTTTCTGGAATCATGCTAAATACTGTAGCGGTATAGTTGAATATCCAATCAGAAATATGAGATGTAACTTCAGTTTCTAGATTTTTCTGAGGTGCTTTTTTTCGACGCTGGTTGAGTAAAGTGTTTCCAAGCGTTTTCTAAGCCTCTATGAATTTTTCCGAGGGATACGTTTGTACACTACAACAAAAGGTAGAGATTAAATGCAACTGTACACCATTGTGACCGATTTTGAACAATGTTAAAGTTAAGTGAACTAATTGTTAATTTTTTTTCAAAATTGATATTAGATACAGACCACGGGATTAAGAGCCGATTGATAACCGGTTCCTGATGTAAGCTATAACATTCAACAGTATTCACAATCCCTCTATACTGATAGATCCATTTAATCAATTTCTGGATAAAAATGTACCCAATCACCATTATAGTCTAAGGTCAAAAGTATAAACACAGTCAACGAAAATACAAAAACATATATGGAGATAATAAATTCAGCCAAAACAACTAGTCACAAACAAGATTTACAACAATTAATCTCATTTCTACCCAAAATCGGCGTTGATAATGTTGTTGTCGTCTAGAATAGCAGTGAAAACTTCACAACTCTGTCTAAATGTATTGAACTGAGCCTACATATCACCACTTCTAGCGTATAGATTTTTTGCTATGCTAACCGATGAGTTGTTACTAACCATCAGTAAGTTGCTATTCGTTTTTTCCTAATCAACTATTATCCATCTTAACAAAATGTTTACCCGCCTCCATCTTGGATAATAAATCCGCCTTTCTGTTGATTTAGTTATATTTTTTGTTGTTATTTCGTTTTTTTCCATTATAGCCCTTGAACAAACATTGAAACATAGCATACCTGGTTGTTTAATATTAATGGATTTATTTTTAAACAGTATCCCATTATATATATGTCATACATTCTATCCTGTAATTGTACATCTAATCTATTTGGCTGTTGCAACATTAAGCCTATATTTGGCGTATACAATTGGTAATCTGGATAAAACTACACCGTTTCCTTCAAATCCAACTGTATTCATTGGTGGACATGCATTGTTACCAAATGGTTATCAAGATTTTTCAAATATACCACGTATATTTATCGTTTTGTTAGGAGCTATCTTTATTGGTATTATGATACATTGTATTCTATTAACATTAGTCATCACTCGAGATTTTCTTGCAAGTTTATGTCAACAAAGTACTAGTGTATGGTATGATTCTAATGATGATGTAGCATATTTAATGGATAACAGTACAACTACACTAGATCTGTTAAGTCGACAGTCATCATCATCAACTGGTGTACACAATTTAAATGAAAAACTAAAATGATATCATCAATTGGAAATAGAAATTTTATGGAAATTAATTGAATTTTGTATATTAATCAACAAGGTTTACACTGCTATTCAATGCTCCTTTATTATTGCTTCTACTTATCTATGTTAGTGAATTGATAATTTTAACCTGATTAAACCTATCCATAATACATATCACTCATGGCGAGACTATAATTTATGGACTAACCAATCAGATATATGATAAAATGTTTTGGATTTTGTCACGAAATTCATTCATCCATTTGGTTAAAGAGCGTTTTTGACATTTTAGCTGATGTCAGTTCGTGATGAAAATTATAAATCTAATTTCTAATCCTTAATCATCAACAGTAAATCTTAATTCTAGTTCTTCACCATAGTTAATAATCTTCATTTGGTCCCAGTTAATATATGAACATTCTCAAAATCACTTTAATCTCGCTCAAAGGTTGTCCATAAATTATAGTCTCACCTCACTCTTCTTATCAAGTACATTTTATCATTTGTATTTAGGTTTTTATTTATTGTAAAAACCAATAAAACAGAATCAAATCTCCAACATGAATTCATTTTTAATTATCCTTTCATTATCTTTCTGATTTGTTTTTTTTAAAAATTAAGAACTATTTGAACATTGAACTAAATATTTATCAATGTGATATTTCTTCATATATCGAATTCATTCATTCATTCATTCATTCATTCATTCATCTCTAGTTGATAAGATTATCTGATTACAATGAAACATCAACTGATACTAATGTATAGTTTTATTTGTTAGAAAAATAAATTTGTTTATATTTTTTTTTTTTTGTTGAGAAAATAACTATCTACTTACAAAATGATTCAATATAATATGATATGGTAAACAGGATTAATGATATTTTATGTTGATTTACTCTTTTCAGTAAACAATGATACGTATATCAATGAATTATTTTGCCACATTTGTATATATATATATATATGTCTGTTGATTCGTATAGTATTCTTGTTTTACAGTTTTAGCTATTACATATCGGACTATTTATGTTATGAATTGAAATTGAATTGAGTATAGTTTAGTATTGCAGTTGTATAAATTTATGGAATTCGTGATTATTGTTAATACTATAGCTCATTAAAACGATAAATGATATGCAAAAATTTTTACTTTAGTACTGGTTTGCATCAATATTCTGAACTAATGATTGGAACTGCAGTAGTTAAACATGTAGACCACTTCAACTGTCTTGGAAATCTCAACAGCCCGGATGAGTTGGTGTCTGACGAGATTTCAACATAAATTCAAAATGTTCCGTTGTCTTTTACCAAATTAAATCATTTGTGGCATAGGTAAGTTATTCGTCTACCAACTAAAGGATGAGTGCACTATACAGCAGTTCTTTTTTATGGCTGTGAAGCCTGACCTCTTAAAATAGCGGATATTCATAGTTCACTAAGAATCGATCATGGGTGTCTTTAGAGCATCGCCCGCATATTTTAAAGCCATCGAGTTGTCGATTTTGTAGTTAAACACAGTATACGAAGTAAAGACGGTCGATCGACTGACGAGGATGTGAATTTTTATCGACTGAGACGGTCAGGACATATAATACGTATGCGCGGGCTCTGTCAATCAGGCCACTAGCCTGAGTTACTAGACACTACATGTTCTATGTTGAGATGTTATATGGTTGAAGGTGAATCAGCAGAGAATCGCTGACTTAAACATCGTAATACCTGACGCTAGTCGTCAAGTTATACCTGGAAACTTGAGGGAACTGTGACATTCGAATCCTCATCACTCAGCTTCACAGTAGGAGTTGCTGCCACTGAACTGTTTAGACTCCGACCAACCTCAACTGTAAATATACCAGCACTAAACAACGATAAACATAACAATAGTCACTACTCACTGATCAATCAGATACATACGAAATGAATTGATTTTTTTCATCTCATCAAATCATAAGATTATTGAAAAGTTGAATTTCATTTGAAATAACTATTTCTTAAAGTTGGTAATATCTCTCAGAAGGACAAATTCAATACATGTTTTGTATAAAACAAAATAGAGTTCTACTTTCCGAAATGCACACGTTTTCTTTTCCTTCAATCAATATGAATGACTACAAATTTAAAACAGAAAATTATTTATATTTTTACCATTTTTTGAAAAAAATAATTGTATATTTCAATAGTTGAAATCATGAGTGAATTGAAGCTAGACTACCATGGAAAACCTGGAAGCACTGGACGTCCGTTTCGTCTTACTGTGGGACTCCTCAACAGTGTGCATCCACGATCCGCCCCCCCCTTGCGACATTCGAGTGAGAAGCCGTTACCAGTGGAGTTCAACCAGGTCTGTCGTGAGATATCAGCTCACTGAAGGCAATGGTGTACGGTGGTGCATTTCGTGGATTAGTTGAAGTTAGACATTAACATGGTTTATACCGGCTCATTGGTATAGTGTTTAAGCGCTCACGCTCGAGATTGATAGGTCCTGGGTTCAAATCTCGCGAGGCGGGATCGTGGATACGGCTGTCCAGTGCTTCCAGGTTTTCCCTAGTGGTCTAGCTTCAATTAAATCATGACTTCAATCTATTAAAATTACTAAAATCTTCACAAAATCCCTTCTAATTGTATATTTGTTTAGATTACATAGATAATGTAAAAAGTATGCTCGTACAAATTATTTTAATTATTAATGCTCTACACTTGTGAATTGATCACATTTTTATGTAATAAATTCTAAAGTACAAATTGTTTAGGTTTCAAATATATTTCCTTTTCATATTACACTGATTTTGATTTAAAACTATGACTAATGTAAAACAAGTTGGAGTAGACAATAAAATTATTTGATGAATATTATTAGTATGGATTTGTATCATTCAGTTGATGATATTCCGAACTAAGTTTTTTGATAAGTCTTAGTTGAAATGACATATACTGATGTTGGGCGAGATTGATAATGATTGGCTGTCTGCTTAGTGAGACATGTAAATAGTCTGACAGGTGTCAGACGAGTTATATATTCCCCTATCCTTATTATCATTGATTGTTCATTGTTGTTGGAATGTGTCGGGTTTTGGTGCGGAAATTTATTATCGTTGTGATCAGGCTAGTCACGTGTTCTTGATCTGAGCTATGTTGAAGTCCTGTAGAATAGATATTGGGAAGGGAATCTAGTGTAGATATTCGTTTAAGGTAAATTAACGTCTCATACATGTAAACGTGGAAAACCAACTGTTATAACATATACATAGTTCCCTTTATTATCTTAAATAGAGCAAGAACGAAGATTGATGCAGAATAATATAATATCATTCTGCACTAATCTTCGTTCTTGTTCTCATTAATTGAAATATTTGTATTTTGAGTGGATAATCCATCGTTGAACAAGTTAGCCGCTCATTGGTACTAGGTTCAAATTTCAATGTGAAAATCAACAATGAATTTCAGCTACATCTAACTAATAAGTCTCAGACAAGACAAAACACACGTTCTACATTCCATTGATAAATATATGGAACTAAAGAATGATTAGAATAGATTTAACCATTCGGTAAACTTTAAAAATCAACACAGTTGTCGGTGTTACTTTTTAAATTCCGATTCATCATAATGACTAGTAAGGACAGAACTTCAATAATGTCTACATGAGAATATTGCTGAACAATTCGATAGGTGTTCTTCGTATTGTTATTAATGCTATTTCCAAATGGTTAGCAGTTTCAAAAAGTGAATATTACTTTCAAAGATTCTGGCTAGCGTTTTTTTGCGAGTTAATTTTCTACGGGCTGGGGTCGCTAACCCCATGCCCAACCCTCCTCCTTTATCGGGGCTTGGGACCGACAGTAGCCTCAGAGGGGTTTTAGGCGGAGTTTTCAAAGATTCTAGAAAAGTAATTAGTCATTTTGAGATTAAAAATATTAGATCTCTTCTATATTATCATCATCCAATTAATAGCGCATAGGAACGTTTTGTTGATCCTCAGAAAGGGAAGAAGTAATTAATGAACAAGATACGAATTATTCTAAAACCTTTATCTAGATTATCGGACAATACTGAGTTTATTATCGATGGGAAACATATTGATTTAAAAGATTCTCTTGATCTCTCACAGTTCGCTGTCATAATTCTGTGAAGAAATAATAAGGAAAGTTTGATATTTTTTTAATTATAGGTTGTCTAATTTATGTGTTTCACATTCCAGTGGAAATAATTTTAGGCGAATCAATAAATGAAGCACTAATTTGACAAAAATCTGTTTTTCTTATCGGCCTACAGAAACCTTAAAAAGTATTACGCTGGTGACAGAACTTAAGTAAATCCTCTAAAGGAGGTATACCTCCTACATCTACACCTACATTCGCTCGTATAAAAAGTCAAGAGTCAAGCATGTGACTCAACAATCATAATTTATTATTAGAAGCTTTATTCAAAATTATATTTTTGATACAACATAGAATTCTCAGCATAAAGTATTTCAACAAGTTTCTTTTTCTTATATCTTGATCGATTGTGACGAAAAGTTTTGAATGATGACCAGTTAGGTGTTAGGAGTTCGGTAGTCCACATTTGATTAATATTCATTCGTTTCAATGCATATTACCGGCCACCATGATGTCGCTGATTGTACCTTTTTGTATCCCGTATAGCGAAAGGTTGTAAACTTTTCATAAACGCGCCTGAATAGATTGTGAGCACAATAGACATAATGATGTGCTAAAACAAACAACAAAACAGATAACTTGATGGAATATGTAGATCGGAGGAACAGGTAGCCCAGATATTCAAGCAGGCCGCCGTTACAGGCGGCTAACATACCAAACTTACAATATTTATAAATTGGATTATTAGGCTAATTCATTCATTTGATCAATGTTGAATACTAAACTGTTAAGAGTTAACCATGTCTGATCAAATATCAATACAAAATAGATTTATACGGGTAGACTTTTATTCATACCAAATGTCACTTTTCAAGTGTTTGAATTAATCTATATTCAACTGTTTTTTCACTTTTGTGAAGCTATATATTGACAGTGTGCGATTTTTGAATGGTCAGGCGAAACTCAATTACACAATTAATTCATTTCAACTAAACCAACTACTGTTTTATAATTATTAATAGTTACTATTCTATATAAGAACCACTTTTTCTTATTATATGTAATACGACCATTCACTTTCCAACTGATAGTCTTAGTATACATTTACAATGGATCGATAACTGAATGGTGACTAATATAATGTTTTTTTAATCCTTTGGATATTGATTGAATTCTATTTGTTAAGTTACAATGGGTCTGGTATCAAGTCATATGACTACTGATCAAAATCATGTGACAAAACCACCAATCAGAAACCCGAGTGATATGACTTACTAAATTCGAGTTGAGTAACTACATGTCCAACTAGCATTTCTAACCTCAATCTAATTGCTAAATCCTTATTAGTTTACGATACTCTATCTTCTCACAGTGCTCTGCCCTTTAGTCCAGATGTCAGAACTCGCCTCAGTTATATTTATTCCAGGTAGACAATTTACATACAGGCATGCCAGACAGCAACACACCATAAAGTGAAGAATGGCTATCATTCATGGCCAAGGCAAAATGTGTCTGTGAATGAGAGAGACTGCATATTAGATGGCAACAGATCAAGTATAGTCACTATGCAACAATATTATGATTAATAATAATTCAAGAAAAACCAGTCCTAACTCGTACAATACCTGTTCCGTTATAGCACATGCTAATCTAAGTGACCAGTCAATTGCAGACACCTCCATCGGACCATGAAGCTTGGTGATACTGGTTTGGATTCACTAAGGAGCACTGGTTACTTCAGAATTTCAAGTATACTATTTTGACGAGTGAGAACTAGCATAAATTTTGGGTCCAAGATTTCCTGCTGGCTGCTTCCAACCACCTAAATTCCTAGTATGCATTGTTCATCGAGAGTAATTTTGAGATAATGGAGAATAATTGTAACTCAGAATGTGAGTTATGACTTATAGGTGAACCATTAGATTGTCTAAGTGGTATCCTATTGTGAAAATTAGAACAACCCATGCAGGCCAACAATTGTTCTCAATTAGATCGTCATCAGGCTTTACTCTAATATACATGAATATTTATACCTGTCCTC